TCATTGCCATTTTGGTTAAACATTTCTATCTAGTGAGTGCTCATCCATCATATTCGTGAACGCCAAGGTACCGTGAGAGAGTCTTCCATTTTCTAGTAAGGCCCCTCCCACATCGGTCTATGACACCCCTGTCATCTTATGAAATATTCTAACAGATCCAGCAGCAAATGGATAGCCCAATTTTATAGTGTGTTTCCTCATTACTAAATGGCCCATCTTCATGCTAATGATGGAAGGCCTTTAGAGAGTTCAWCATATGAATCTCCCTATCACATGCACTCATATTATAGGAGGGAACAAAATTATGCCCTAATTTAATTTAGGTCAAACCATAGTAGCTCCCACTGACTTTCATAAAGCCAGATTTTGGTGGGCCCTAATCGGCTAGGGTTCCGCACGGATCATCTAAAGGAGGTGTGGGGTCCACCATTGAGGGAGATCATCCAATGATCTTTAGGGACACCATGGCAATGATGTGCATTCAGCCAAGGGCCAAGTACTTATGGCCCATGAACGTTGCACATCACACATCCATACATCACATGCAGGGATAAAACTAATCCAATCAATTAATATCTATAAAGCCCATTATCAAAGCCCATTTTAATCCATAATATTATTAATTAATATAAACTAGGTATATGGGCCGAATGGGGTTAAGCAGTTTGGCCAATATAGCTCATCTGCAATTAGTGGGCTTTTAGTAGTTTTAACTCTTTAAAACTGGGCCTTACAGGTGTGGGCCGAATTAAACCTCTTAATTAAATATCAATCCCTTAGCCCAAAAGTGGGAAATTAGGGTTGACATTAGCCTCCACCGAACCACAAATTCGGTCCAACCAATTTAGACCAATCTGGTTCGAATGGGTCTAGGGTTTGATTTTTAATTAAAGATTTAATTCAAGAAATGATCTGAAAGTAAATCTACTGATTAAAGAAAAACAAGAATCAGTCACAGGGCTGTTCGCACATCTCCAATCTGCAAAACAAATGTCAGAACACAATTTGCAGTTTCATAAACTGCAAATCACAGATAGCGATTTTCATATCTATGAAATCTCCTCCTTTGCGCCACCAGCTTCGATCATCAAAATAAATAGAAAAAACCTAATTTTTCTATTAATATTACATCAGATTGAATCCTATACATTCAGTCTAGAAATTAAAAAAAAAATTACTTACAGACCAAAATAAATAGAACTGCAACATCGCAGTTTTCTTGTGCCAATAAAGACTTCGATCTCCATTTGTACGAATAGCCCATAAATCAAGAAAATAATAAAGAACAATTCTAAATATATTCTAGATTTATAAAAATTAATTTCAGATCATTCGCCCTTTAATCTGGGAACCGATTTCCAAAAAAAACCCTAATCTGCGCAAATAGGGTAGAATGCCTTCTACCCATTTGCGTAGGTTCAGATCTGGTTTATTTCGGTTCAAGATTTGAACCATGGCTCTGATACCACTGAAGGGATGAGAGATCCATCATATGGATGGCCGAACCCTACTGGTAGGTTGGGCAAAATTTCAAAAATTTCCTCTCCCCTCATCTGGGAATCACATTCCCTGTTTTAGAAAATCTGCATTTTTAGGGATCAATCTTGAACCCTAAACTGAACCAGATCTGAAAACCAAAGGTAGGAGAGGGATATACCCGATACAAAGAAATAGTATCTCCCAATGAAGGTGTTCATGCCCAAAGAAAATCTCCAAAGACTGCTCTCACTGAAGATGACACAATGTAGGGTGGAGCAAAATCAGCAGTGTTCTTCCCAGGAACCAAACCCTTCGGCAAGAATTCGATGGAGGCAGTGAGCACGACTTCAGATCAGCCTTTCTCCAAAGACTGATATCAAGAACTATTCTTGATCGCTCCTACTTGAATGGAGATCGAACTGGTAGTTGGCGGCAACAGGAGGAGAACACAAGGAGAAGATGGCACAGTCACACTAGTGCTATCTTCTCTCTGTGAGATCTGATACCTGGGGTGTTCAGATGTTTCTGGATCTAATTTTGATGAACTGAATGGTTCGCCCCCTCCTCCTTTTATAGACTTAAAGAGATCAGCTCCTAATCCCATTAGGAGTTTCCTGATTCAAATCCTTATTTGAAYCTGGACTCTCTTYAAGTGATAAGGATARATCCTTATCTTATCTGCAGATTAGATCAGCTCTCTCCTAATCTCATTAGGAGGTTTCTAGATCCAAATCAATATTTGGATCTAGACTCACTGAGTGGATAGGGATAACTCCCTATCCTATCTGTTGATCTAAATCCCAGATCCACCCTTCTTTAATTAGTGTTACTAAACCAGTTCAAAATGGGCTTTAGGCCCAATAAGTCTTATGTGCTCAGTAGGCTTCCAAACTGCTGCCCAGTTGGGCTTCTTTGTATGGCGTGGGACCTAAACATTGATCTACACATTAGCTACATGGGTTCATCCCAACCTCTGTTACAAGGCCTGGCCGAATACATTGTTATGGACAGTGTACCCCCTGAGCTCATCACATGGGTTCCTAATGGGCCCAACACTTACACTAAGTGGTCCCTGGGCCAAGCCACTTTATAAAAACCCAAGGATTGTGGGCAGATGCAAGATTAACTCATGAGGTATTACCCTCAATGGTCTTACACATAACCTCTTAGCTCATAATGATCAAACACTGCCCGACAAGAGAGGACTTCTCCCTCGGCTGCAAGGAACAGTGTTGCACTCTCTACTCACATGGATCCCGGGAATTAAAACATTTTGCAAACATTTTGAAACCATAAGATATATATGTATATCCGTATATAAATATATTTTGCAAAACAAATTTCAATGATTGAAATCGGTTGTCGGGTCTTGGTTTCCATCAGAGAGAGTGCATCTCCGATCATTACCTTTGTCCGACAAAGGGGGCTGATCTTGTCACTATGATCACCCACTCAGATGAATTATCAGATTGTCCCAATATACCTAGGTTTTGACCCCCTCTGAGGATCTCACTGATTGGCATATCAAAGACAGCCCATTCCGATACCTAGTGCAGTATCATAATTGAGTCTAGGGGTCAAGTGTAACTTTTCAGTTTTGCCCATCAATCTCCAAGGTCTAGGGCAATACTGGAAATCTGGTCCGGTTCAGGGTTTCAAGTAAACCTACACTACATGTGCCTCGGGTCTCACCCTAGTGGCTGAGACAAGCCACCCCAACCAACTTGGCGGCACATTAGTGTCAGCCTTGGCAGGATAAATCTCCCTAGACTTATCCAACGGCTGTGAACAATCTAAACTAACACGAGTCTCATATGTGTCCAGTTTAAGGGTATTACACAGAAACACACCATAAGAACATGAATCAAATATGTACTTTATTCATTTACAATAAATGTCATAATGTACATCATTTTGATTGGATCTAAGGGCATACACTGTCTAACACATTTGTCTAATAGAACCATCAATCGAATCTCTAACATCATTTATTTCTACTTTAAATGGTGAAAATAATGACCATGAAAGTGAAAATGTCCCTTCTATTTGTTTAGGGTCTAAATTTTTTTTTACAAAATTTAAAGATTGCAAAAACCAATAATGGTCATTTTCATTCCTTAAAACCATCTCAAAACATCCCACAAATTGAAGCACAAAATATTTCAAAATATCGTATATATTTTTTCTTTCCATCCCACAAACCAAACAGAACCTTAATGAAATTGCATTTTCTTGGACTCCTCGTAGAGGACACCTAGACACCCAAACACGCTCCACATGCACATTTCAGTGAGTCAGTGTGCATCGCCCGTACATGGGAGGTGTTCCCAATGCTAGGGAAAATGTTCTCAATTCACGCTGAGATATGCATGTGGGGTGCGCTCTATGGCAAGCCCATTTGAGCTCCAATTTAACTCTAGGCAATGTATTTTAATTTCATTGGGGGTAGGGGTGGCCACAAGCTGAGCTCTTCACGAGCTACTCGAGCTTGGCTCGGCTCGGTTTCAACCGAGCTTCGAGTCGAGCTCGAGCCCAATTTACATGCTCGTTTATCAATCAAGCTGAGCTCAAGACTAATAGAGCTCGGCTCATGAGGCTCGCAAGTCAAGTTCGAATAGCTACACACACACAGATATATATATATATATTAATAAAAATATAAAGTCATAGAAAATTATATATATATATATATATAATATTTTTATTTTTATATATAATAATAACTAATTATTAGGATTCTTAATTTTTTAAATATCAAATAAAAAATATTTTTTCTCAAATCGAGCTCGAGCTCAAGGTTCTAGCTCCAACTGAGCTTGAGCCCCGTACTACCTTGACGAGCCTAGATCGAGCCTTGTACTATTTGGCTCATATCAGCTCGAATCTACCCCTAATTGGGACTAACCCAAGTCGTCCTAGATGTGAAAATGAGATGGACCCTCTATAATTGGAGTTCATTTTATATAAATAAAAGATTATATTAATTATAACAAATAAAATAATATTTTATATTTTTTTGGGACAATCCATTTACAAAACCAATAAAAATTTCTAAGGGCAAATACACCATAAAGTTTTCCCATTTTTTTGGGTAAATGCTAAAACTTCCCCTGAAGTTTCTAACCATTGCTGAAACCTCCCTTGAAGTTTGGTTATTGCAATCACCTCCTCTGAACTTTCTGATACAATTGCAAGTAGACCCCCAGTTAGAATCCTCTTAAAAAGAGTCACAAAAATGTCCAAAATATCCATACAAGAAAGAAAGAATTTAAAGTTGCAATTTTAAATTTGAACGATTTATATGACGGGCATATTTGGAAAATAAATCAATTTCAAAAAGAAGATCGAAAGGATGAAATTTGAGGAAGGTTTCAGCAATTTACCCTATCATTTTTTAATTATCATATGCACGTATAATGGGATCAGAACAGGAAATTCAATCTGTATCACAAACGCCACCAATTATAGTGCAACCGAGTTGTGCAGATTCCATACCCTATCCTTTTTTAACCACTAATAACCAAGAACACTTCCTGCGAAGCGGCCACACACAGCATCAGGCCATCAGCAGCAGCTATGGAGAGTCACTGCCACTTCCTCCTGGTTACCTTCCCTGCCCAAGGCCACATCAATCCTGCCCTTCAGTTTGCCAAGCGCCTAACTCTTACCGGCGTGCAAGTCACCTTCGTCACCAGCGTCTCTGCCTTCCGGCTCATGACAAACCTCCCAACTCAAGACGCTTTAACCTACTTCCCCTTCTCAGACGGCTACGACGATGGCTGCAAATCCTCCGACGACTTTGATAACTTCATGTCCGAGTTAAGGTGCCGCGGTTCACAAGCTCTCACCGATTACGTCGAGTCCAGTGCTAAGGAACGCCGCCCTGTGACCTGCTTAATATACACCATTCTCCTACCTTGGGCCGCTGAAGTGGCAAGTAACCTGGGTGTCCCCTCGGCGCTTCTCTGGATCCAGCCTGCGGCTGTCCTCGACATCTACTACTTCTACTTCAATGGCTATGGCGATCTCATGGCCAATTTTAAGAACGATCCCTTGTATGCCATAGAATTACCAGGACTCCCACTGCTCACTGGCCGAGACGTTCCGTCCTTCTTTCTCCCTTCAAGTGCTTTCACCAGTACTGTCCTCTCTTTGTTCGAAGAACTCCTCCACAAGTTATTTGAGCGGGAACCAAAGCCACGGGTGCTAGTGAACACTTTTGACGCCTTAGAACGGGAAGCACTGGGAGCAGTTGACAAGCTTAACATGGTTGGAATCGGACCCTTAATTCCATCTGCTTTCTTAGATGGTAAAGATCCATCTGATAAATCCTTTGGGGGAGATCTCTTCAATTGTTCAGCGGACTACATCAAATGGCTGAACACAAAACCAGAGGGATCGGTGGTTTATGTATCGTTTGGAACTGTAGCTAATCTACAGCAGCAACAAATGAAAGAGATTGCACGTGGGTTGCTAGATAGTCGCCGGCCGTTCTTGTGGGTCATCCGAACACCACTGATGAGTAGTGAAGCAAAAGAGATAGGAACTGAAGCAATAATGGACAACATCGAAGAATTGAAGCGAGAAGGAATGATAGTATCATGGTGTTCGCAAGTGGAGGTTCTGTGCCACCCTTCAGTTGGGTGTTTCCTTACTCATTGCGGATGGAATTCGACGTTGGAAGGTATAGTTGCAGGCGTTCCAATGGTGGGATTCCCACAGTGGTCAGACCAAGGGACCAACGCTAAGCTGATAGAAGATGTTTGGAAGACGGGTGTGAGACTAAGGGTGAAGGAAGGAGGAGAAGGTGGAGATCTAGTTGATGCGGAGGAGATTAAGAGGTGCTTGTGTATGGTGATGGAAGGAGAAACAGGGAAAGAGATGAGAAAGAACGCCAAGAACTGGAGGGATTTGTCTCTGGAAGCTGTGAAAGAGGGTGGTTCTACAGACAAGAATCTACGGGCTTTCCTTGAGGAAATTAGAGGTGGAGATTATTCCGTACTGTAGGCCTTTTCTTTATTTGCCGGTCTGTTGCAGCTCAAGCAAGACTGTAAGTATTTTTAAATATTCAGTTTTCACAACAAGGTAGACTACTTAAAAAAAAAGTGTCTTGAAGTTTAGGGTCGGGATCCTGGGCCTTGTCTTTTGCTATCGATGCAATGTAATTTAGCCCATTTAAGTGCTTGTTTGACAATGTGAACCAGAAATTGGTTGGTGTGAATTGATCTAGTGGCACCGATTATTCCACATCACACTATAATTTATAAGTATTTTGAATTGTGGATATATTATGTGGGTTGAATTAATTTATATCACAAATTTTGATTTGATGTATACAGTTTGTGAGATGATTTACATAGTTGATCATAAATGAATAATTTGTTTATTTTATATTCAAAAAACCAGAAAAATACCCATAAATTCATATTTGTCAATAAAAATTTATTTTAACAAAATTAATAATAAAAATAATTTAAAAATAATTATTTTTCATTGATATGATATTAAATTTATTTTAAAAATTATTGAAAATTGAAATCTACAAAAAAAATATTAAAAATTAAGATAAAATTTTAAAAAGAATATTTATGAAAAAACGAGCAAATGAAATATTGGTTCACATATACATAGCATCAAAATATTGGTTCCATTGGTCATACATACTAGCACCAAAATTACAATTACTATTTTAACAAAAATAACAAAATCAATATGGTAAAACTAATAAAAGGAACTATGAAAAGTATGTTGCATCCACAACATGTAAGCAACACAATATTCGTTTTGTGTAATTTGGCATGTTGTTTTATTGTTAGACAGTGTATGCCCTTATCTCCAATATGATTAATGTACTTTTTGACATTTATTGTAAACGAATAAAGTGCATAATTGATTCATGTTATTATAGTGTGTTTCTGTGCAATACCCTTAAACTAGACACTTATGAGACTCGTGTTAGTTTATAATCTTCACAGCCATTGGATAGACCTGGAGAGGTTTATCTTGCTAAGGCTGACACTAATGTGCTGCCAAGTTGGTTGGGGTGGTTTGTTGGTTGGGGTGGTTTGTCTCAACAACCAGGGTGAGACCTGAAGCATATGTAGTGTGGATTTGTTTGAAACTCTAAACCGGACCATTTTCCAGTTATGCCTTGGACCTTGGAGACAGATAGGCAGAACTGGAAAGTTACACCTAACCCCTAGACTCGATTATGGTACTGCACTAGGTGTTGGATTGGTTTGTCTTTGATATGCCGATCAGGGAGATCCTTAGTGGGGGTCAAAACCTTGGTATGTTGGGGCAGTCTGAGAATTCACCTAAGTGTGTATATATATATATTTATATATATGTATATATGTATATATATTATGCTTTCACAAAAAGTTTGCAAAAAGGTTTTAGTTCCTGGGATCCATGTGAGCAGAGAGTGCAACACTGTACCTTGCAACCAAGGGAGAGGTTCTCTCTTGTCAAGTAGTGTTTGATCATTATGGGCTGAGAGGTTAAGTGTAAGACAATTTAGGGTTTTTACTTGATGGGCTAATCTCACTTAAGTCCATAGTCCCTGGGCCTTCGTAAGGTGGATGGACCCCGGGACCATTTAATGTAAATGTTAGGCCTCCTAAGAGCCCATACTAATGGACTTAGGGGTTCACTGTCTTCAGCAATGAATTCGACTAGGCCTTGTAACAAAGGCTAGGCTAAACCCATATGGCTTTTGTGAAGATCAATGTTAGGGTCCCACGCCATACAAAGAGAGTCAAGTTAGCCAGCAATTAAAAGGAAAGTGAGCCAAAAGACTTAATGGGACTAAAGCCTATTTCGAATTGGGTTTAATTGGATTAATTAAAAGGGGACGAATCTGGTTTATAATCTGATTAGGATCAGTAATAGGATAAGATAAGTCATATCCACTTAAGAGTCCAGGTCCAAATACAGATTTGAATCGAGAAACTCCTTCCTAATTGAATTAGGAAGCTGATCCTAAAAGGGTTATAAATAAGGACGTGAATTCCACAATAGGTGAATTCTTCTTTATAGTTTTTCTCCCTCTGCTCTTGCCACCCTATCCTGTTCGATTTCCAGTTCTTGGAGTGATCAAGATTGGATCTTGATATTGTTTCTTGTTGGAAGAAACAATCTTGAAGTTGTGCTCACATCCCTGCATGATTCTTGTTGAAGAATTGGGGTTCTTACTAAAGAAACTCTTTGCTGATCCTACATCACCCTAAGCTGTGTCATCTTCAATGGAGGACGGATTTGGTGAACTCTTTGGGTGTGAACACCTACGTTGGGAACTACTGTTGATTCTGTATCAGGTATATCCCTCCTTTAATCTTGGTTACAGATTTGGTCTGGTTTGTTTCAATAACAAACCTTGAAAAATGTAGTTTTTCTAAATTAGGGAATAGGATTCCCGGAAAGGAGAAAGAAAATTTTTGAAATTTTGCCTAGCTACACCCTACATGGTTTAACCATCCATATGATGGATCTCCCTTCCCTTCAGTGGTATCAGAGCTAGGTTCAAATCTTGAACCAAATTTGGACCAAAACTGAAACTACGCAAATGTGCAGAAATTGTTCTACCCGATTTGCACAAGTTTCTTTTTTTTTTGAGAAATTGGTTATCAGTTTATGGGCATATGATCTGCAAATTAATTCTTTATTTATCTGCAATAATTATAGAATTGTTCTATCTTTATTTCTTGATTTTTGGGCTGTTGGTATGGTGGAGATCAAAATCTTTATTGGCGCCAAGATTTGTGCACCCTATTGTATTGTTCTATTTAATTTGGTCTGTAAATAATTTTTTTTTTATTTTTAGACGAAATGTATAGGATTTGTTCTGATGTAATTAAAAGAAAATTAAGTTTTTCTATTTCTTTTACGTTGGAAGACCTGCTAAAAGCGCGCGGAGGAGAAGTTTTTGCATAAATGAATTCTGTTATCTACGATTTGCAGACATCAAACCTGCAATCTGTGACTAACTTTTTACTTGCAGGTTTGCAGCCACATGAACAGCCCTCTATTGATGTTTCTTGCAGATTCTTGATTATCTTTAATCAGCTGTAATAAATTTAAGATCATCTTCTTGAATTAGATCTTGCAAAGGACACCAAACCCCATGCCAATTTGACCCAGATTGGTCCAAACTGGTTGGACCGAATCTGTGGTTCAATAGGGTCTGTTCTCAATCCCAAAATTCGATTATGGGCCAGGGGTTTGATGATCCATTACAAGATGCAATTCGGCCCACCCTGTAAAACCCAGTTTTGATGAGTTAAAACTGCATTAGCCCATTTTTCAACATAAATGCTATATGGGCCGAACTGCTTTTTGCAGTTTAGCCCATATACCTAGATAATGTTATATGATAATATTATGTGCTTTAATGGGATGATATTGATTTAACTTAATTAATTAAGGGTTTTACAGTTTATTTGATTGATTGGATCAATTATGTGATTGTTTATGCATGTGGATGTGTGTGATGTACTACGTACATGGGCCATAAGCACTTGGCCCATGTTCATTCATTAGTGGCTCTTTATGCACACCATGGTTGAATGCACATCATTGCCATGGTTTCCTAAAGATCATTGGATGATCTCCCTTTCCAATGGGCCCCAGATCAGCTTCCTCCCCAAGAGAAACCGTGCGGAACCCTAGCCTATTTTTGGGCCCATTTGAATCTAACTTTAAGAAAGTCAGTGGGAGCCTATTTGGTTTGACCTAAATCAGATCTAGGGATGTAACAACTTGTTCCCTCCAGATATATATAAGTGCATGTGATAGGGAGATTCATGTGATGAACTCTCTAAAGACCTTCCATCATTAGCATGAAGATGGGTTTATCAGTAATGAGGAGATGCAGCATAATTGGGTTATCCATTTGCTGGTGAGTCTATTTGATTGCTTCATAAGATGATAGGGGCGTCATAGACCGATGTGGGAGAGGCCTATCTTAAAATGGAAGGCTCTCTCACGATACCTTAGCGTTCACGAATATGACGGGTCTGCACATACTGAACAGAAAGGTTTAACCTTAAATGGCAATGAACCTTGTTTGATAGAAACCAAAGGGAAAGCTCATAAGATGAGTGGATATGACCCTTACAAAAAGTGGTGAGGCTTTGTAGTTGAAACAGTTGGCTCCATGCATCGTATGTGATTTTCCACATTTCTAGAGACATAACCGCGTCTCCATCACTGAGATGGGAGGGAAATCTCAGAGATGAAGAAATGAAAATAGAGCATAGATTAAAAGCCTTCTCTATGTAAATAACATCAATCAATTTAGGTTGTGGACTAATAATTTGTATTGCCTTTTATCAGAAATGGCAAATGGACAACTCGCCAAACTGTTGGACAATAATAAGTTTAAGGGCCCAAATTATGCTGACTGGTTCCGTAACCTTATGCTGGTGCTGATGTCCGAGAAATTAGACAATGTAGCCAAAAACCCTACACTGGAACGTCTGGGTGATAGGACTTCTGAGATCCATAGGAGGGAATATCAAGAATGGGATGAGAAGAAATCTCTTAATCGGTGTTACATTATAGCCTCCTTAGACAATCCGATACAAAGATAGTTCGATAAGATCGAAGTGTCCAAGGATATCATGAATAGTCTAAGGACCTTGTATGAAGAGTAGAATCATTCTACTCGACAGAAGGTCCTAAATTTGTTTATGACCACTCAAATGACTGAGAACCAATAGGTTCATGACCATTGTCTAAAGATGATGGGCTATATCAATGAATTGGAGGCTCTCAGTTCAGGGCTAGATGATGACACTAAAATTGATGTCGTCCTAAACTCTTTGCCTCCCTCCTTTAATCAGTTCATCATGAATTACAACATGAATAAGCTAAATGTTAGCCTTTAGTAACTCAACAATATGTTGCAGAGGGCTGAAGAACTGATTAAGAATGATAGGTCAATTGCCATGCTTGTTGAAGGTGGAAAATCGGGCAAGAAAAAATGAAAGGCAAAGAAGAAGCCTCAGAAAAAGGTTGGCAAACCTAAAAAGCAGACGAAGGACAAGGCATCAGTGCCTGTCATTTTTGTAAGCAGACCGGCCACTAGAAGAGGAATTGTCCTCAATATTTGGAGACCAAGAAGCAAGATAATTTTGAATCCTTTGTCAAAGAAACTAATTTGTGTGTTACTTCTACATCTTGGTGTATTGACTTCGGGGCTTCTATTCATTCATGTAACACATTGCAGGGTTCCAAGACAAGCAGAAGGCTAAGTGACAGAGAAGTGAATCTTTACTTGGGGA